GTCAAATTGGGCTATTATATGGTGAATGGAAACGCAATTACTGCAATATTCATAATTTACGTGGCAGCCCCACACTACAACAAAGTCATTTTAAAGATTTGTTGAAGTGGAGAGCTTGAAATGAATTGGGTAAAGTGATGCATCTTTTGTGGAGAACAGCATTTCCCTAAGCTGACATAAAACCCAATGATATAATTAGAACAAAGAGGAGAGAGAATAAAGGGCATGAAAAATAGTTTAAAAACAAAGTCAGTAAAATGTTTTGGGGCGCATGCGTACGTGCTGACCCTCGGTAGTGGCGTGTGGTTTGTGGCTTGTCTTCGTCGTGTCTTCGTTGTTCGTTGTTTGTAGTAAGTCTGTAAGTGAAGCCAAGTGGTAATACGGTGAAGGAACATGTCGGACAACATGCTGATCAGGATAATGATTCTGATTTGGATCCTAATAGTAATATGGGACACTGTAAGCGCACACGGAAGAGGAACTCCACTGCAGTCAGGCACCCAAACTTCGCTACATCCGAGAGGATCTTCTGAATCTCCGATACTCCTTCAATGAACCACCGAACTTACTCTTCAGTCCTTTGGGATAATCCACCCTGGATGGAGTGATAAAAAGGAAAAGACAAAGAAAAGAGGATCAAGAGGCGGGATTCGCAACAGGTTGAAACGGAGGGGAGTCGCTTCCCTCTCCCGACACTAACTCTTTCCAATGTGGGCTCACTTAAAAACAAAATGAATGAACTCTCGGCACTTATAAAGTCCGACAGGGACTTTAAACAATCCAACTTGATATGTTTCACAGAGACATGGCTGAACGATGACATAAACAACATTAACTTGGAAGGATATTCCTTAGTTCGCTATGATCGTGACGGAACTAAGACAGCAAAATGCATCGGAGGCGGATTGTGCATGTTCATAAATTCCAGCTGGGCAACAAAAATCACGGTACGGGAGACTGAATGCACTGTTCACTATATGACTGTCTCATTTAGACCACACTACTTGCCTCGTGAATTTGGTCAAATAACAGTAATTTTGGATTTTAAACTCGCTGCAGATGATATAGCTGCCAGTTATAACAAAGCACTGCACCAGTCAGGGGATGACCCTGTTTTTCTCTTAGGGGATTTCAATAAATGTGACGTCTCCCCACATCTGCCAAATTTGGAGCAGTATATTACATGCATGACGAGACAGAACAAAATTTTTGATAAATGCTATGGGAATGTGGAAGGTGCCTATGCTTCCCGGGCCCGCCCCCCTCTAGGTCTGTCAGATCATAACGTCATTCACCTTCTTCCAAAGTACCGTCAATTGTTGAAAAGGACCAAACCCACTATAATTCATTGCCAGGCCTGGACAGACAGCTCGGTGGACATGCTGAGAGGCAGTTTTGAAGTTACAGAATGGGAATTGTTTTTTAATGTTTGTGGGGGCAATACTGACTTGTTAATTGACACTATATCCAGCTACATTAATTTTTGTGTGGACTCGGTAATTGGAACAAAAGAAATCAAAATCTACCCCAATAATAAACCTTGGGTCAGCAAAGAACTGAAACATCAACTGAATCTGAAGAAAAAAGCCTTCATAGAGGGAAACCTGGAAGTAACAAAGGAACTGTCTAAGGAAGCCAGACGACTAATGAAAAAGGCCCAACTGATTTATAAAGATAAGGTTGAAAGGAAATTAAGGACTGGTAATGTCAGAGATGCATGGAGAGGGTTGAATAAAATGATGGACAGGGAGCAAAGACACATTTTGCAGTGCGATGAAGACCCCCTCCAGTTTGCCAATAATCTAAATACGTTTTATTCCAGGTTTGACATTCAGGACTTTCAAAAGGAGTGTGATGATGTTTGTGCTGGCTTGACATCTGATCCTATTGTAACCCAGTCCAAACTAAAAGTGTTTGTAAAGAGTGATAGTTTAGAATGTATCATGTTTGCTTAAATATGTTAAAAATGTTATTAATCAGTGTTAGCCAGAAACTATTTCAGGTTCTTTAAAAAGTAATCTTTCTGTTTTTTTGTTCATGTGGAGGGAGAGAGGGATAGGGAAGAGAGAGTGAAGGGATGAAGCGCGAAAAAGGAAAAAAGTAGCAGAGTTTAGTAAACGGGTTTGTACATAATTCGGCTTTCAGCTCGACAGTCGGGAAAAAGTATATCAACCCTACGCTCTGTTTACCGCTGCTGTGATTGTTCCAGACCGGAGCTCACTGAACACTATGTGTAATGCTCGCTGTCGCATTTACTATTTGCTAACTCGGTGAATAGCCGTCGAGGTCTGTAAGCTAACCCGGCTAATGGACAATCCAGCTAAAGTTTCCGTAGTGGGAGCTTTACGGAGGAGCGCCTGGAGCAGCGAGCTACGCATGTGGAAAGTGGTGGAGTGGTTGGAGGACTGGGCTACGTTGGACGTCTCTGTTCCTGGATCCTGTGGACTGCCAGACTGGTTGGGGAGCGGAAGACATCTTGGTGGCTGGTTAGCACTGAGGACGGGTAGGTGTCGAAAGGGCTCGGGTTTTCACTCGGAGAGGAGTGCCAAGTTCCACGCTTCACATCAGGCCTGCAACGGGGTTTGTTTTGTTGGGACTATATTTTAGTTAAGTATTGCCGGCTTAGGTGAACTTAAAAGTGTGGGCCCACAATTATTGTGTGAACTTAAAAGAGTGAGATATTTCACAGTTTGTGCATTTGTTAAGGTGTTTAATACATGTTTAATTCTCATACAGGTGTACGTTTTTTATTATTAACTATAGTTAGTTATTTTTTAAACTATTTGGTGTGAAGGGAAAGAAATACTGGTATATCATTACTCTAAACTCAACATAGGTTTAAAACACGAGAGTGTACTAATAGTCATTATTTGTAACTTGATGAGTTTAATGAACTCAGGGGCCCTTACCCATGTTAAAACGGTGTAATTGGGCTACACTATGATTATTCAAGAGCATACAGTGACCTCCATATTCCAGGGTCTGAACCCTCATAAAGCACCTGGCCCAGACGGACTTCAGGGGAGTGTTCTAAAGGAATGCGCTATCCAACTAGGTCCTGCTATTACAAAGATATTTCAGATGCTGTTTAACAGTAACCACTATCCTAAAGCCTGGATGACAGCTACCATTATCCCTGTGCCAAAAACTCCCCATGCCAAAACTAACAGTGATTTTAGACTTATTGCCCTTACATCCATCCTTAGCAAATGCATGGAGTGTCTAATTCGTAATAACCTGACCCGCCAGGTAGCAGGTCAATTAGATCCCATGCAATTTTCTTATAGAACCAACAGGTGGGTGGAGAGACGCCACACTCACTCTTCTAAATAACTTGCAGTGTCACTTGGATAAACCTAAGACCCATGCCCGTGTTCTATTCATGGACTTCTCTTCTGCCTTTAACACGGTGCAGCCACACCTCCTTCTACCAGGCCTCTGTGACCTGCAAGTCAGTTCTGGTCTGGTTCTCCTCATCAGGGATTTTTTGAGGGATCGACCCCAGCGTGTGTGCATTAAGAACTGCCTCTCTGACTCTCTGGTCCTCAACACAGGAGTTCCCCAAGGATGTGTGTTATCACCTTTGCTCTTCTCCATATACACCAATGAGCTACAGTGTCAAACTTATGACCGCTCCCTCATTAAGTACGCAGATGATATGGCTCTAATTGCCTGCATATGGGAAGCAGATACCTCCCCCTACCTGCAGTATATTAACACCTTATCTGCATGGTTTGACAGCAGCTTCCTGGACCTTAATGTCTCCAAAACCAAGGAGATGTGGCTAGGAAGCAACAAGAAGGGAGGCAATAAAGACCAGGGCACACCTTCAGGCCAATCAGCATGAAGGGTCAGGAGGTGGAGCAGGTGACTCAGTTTAAATACCTTGAGACAGTCATAGACAGTCACCTACAGTTTCAAGACCACGTGGATTACACATTTAAAAAAGGTAGACAGCGCCTGGCTCTCCTGAGAAGACTCAGGGGCCTTAACACCAGTCAGCGCACTATGTCCATGGTCTACAAGTCCTTGACCGAGAGTGTGCTGACATTCAACATCGTGTCATGGTATGGGTACCTCTCTGTCAAACAAAAGAACAAACTGGGACAGATCGTCAACCAGGCTGGAAAGATTATTGGACTTAAACAGCAGCAACTTTCACATTTGTACACGCGGGCCTTAACAAAGAAGGCACATCAAGTCTATCTGGACCCGACTCATCCTCTTCACTGTGCTCTCCAGTTGCTGCCATCTGGACATAGATTTAAAGTCCCAATGGCAAGGAAGAATGGCTACAAGCGATCATTTGTTTCATCAGCTGTGGATATTCTAAATAAAAATCTGACTAGATAAGTTTATATGTTCTCTAAGTCTGCTAGTTGTATTCCACTGATTTTAAATTTCACAGTAACACAGTGCATTGTTCTGTGTGCTCTCTTAGCAGTAGTATAGTAAATTTTAAATGGTTTTTAATATTTAACTGAATGACATGAGTATAGTATGACTTGATTTCATTTTACGGATCTTGTTTGTTCATTGTGCATGCAGTTTTGTGGCGACTGTGATGTGTGTTTCTTGTGCCATTGCCAAAGATAAATTTCCATTTTATGTAAGTTTAATGGACAATAAAGGAGTCTAAAGTCTAAAATGTTCATTGTTTCAAACTGTAGCTGCCCTTCAGAAAGTCCTACTGAGCTCATAATAGGAACTACTTCTCAGTACAAAGCTGGTAAAAATGTTACAGGGTTAAAGTGGAGCCATGTTGTCCTGAAGGTGGCGTTTTAGGAAGAAACAATTTCAAGGCCTTAAATTACAAAATGTTATTTCTTTGAAGTCATATTTTATGTATGGAAGTTCATATAACTCTACTTAAAATAGTTACTTGATAGGGCTATAAAATGGCACTATATGTCTTGGAAACATAACACTATCCCTTTAAGAGATACATGGGTATCCAAATAATTGAACCATATTTGCCTGACTGTCTCTTGTTACTTCAGGTATGATTGTCAAAGGAAGCCCAGCAGTTCTCCTTCTCTTGAGGAGGATGAGGGTTTTAGTGACTGGACTCAGCGCAGAGAAAAACAAAGACAGCAGCGACCGCAGGAGCTCAGTCAGGATGGAGAAAAAGAGGAGGAAGAAGAAAATGTCTTTATGAAGAACAATTTAGCCAAAAAGGCTGCTCACACTGCTTCGAGTCCAGTTCAAATACAAGATCAGGAAGATACTGACAGCATCATTGAACAAGAGGTTAAGAGAGTGAAGGAGAGGGAGGAAATGAAGAAGGACAAAGTGCTGCTTTCCACCAAACAAGAGACTCAAAGGCCAAATACAGAGGTAAGAGTTTAGTATCACACATTTAAGTGTTTGATTTCTGAAGTTGCTCGAAATTCTTTTTGTTTCTATTTTTTGGGTGATAATGTCAATCTTTTTGTTTCTAAATTTATCAAGTAAAAGATAAAACTGGTCATGAAATCAGAGAAATCTTCCTTAGATTTAGAGTGTTGTGAGAAACAATGTATCTATTTACATCACTAATTTAATTCAATTCAACTCAGTTTTATTATTTAGTACAAATCCTCAACAATTGTTTCGTAAAACCACATAAAAAGTTCATTGTTAAAATGTGTTAATTTAGTGCAACCCAAAAAACTTCAAAGTTAGTTTCATGTATTGCAACTTGATGATAGCTGGTAAACAAAGCAGTCAAGCTTAGCTTATCCAAGCCAGCTGATCAGAACGAGCATGTTGCTGCAGTCAGCAGTGGATCCCAGAGTCACAAACTCATAGTTAGCAGCATGCATGTGACAACAGTGAGAAGGAAAACTTTCCTTTAACATTAAGAGATCTTTTTGAGAGCTTAGTTACAGACTTTCTTTCAGTTACTCTGAGAAACTGGGTTTAATTCAAATGTTTTACACGCGTGAGCAAATTGTTGGCATGCCTCTCTGAAAGAATGGAAAGCCTTCAACAGTCACTGAAATAACTTGAAATAGTAACAATAAATACCTCTTGACCAAAAGTAACCAATGAAAATCAGAGATTGCTGTTAAAAAGAACATTTTGAATTTAAAATGCAAAAATAAATAAATAATAAAAACATATTTTATCAAGATTCTTAATGTCTGGTACACATTGAAATAATCTGATATGCTCAAATAGTGTTTTTCTTTCTCACATTTTATCAACAGGAAGCGAGAAAGAAAGAATCTAAAGTGTCCTACACGTCCAAAGTTTTCCTGTGTCAGAAGCCAAAACACAACAGCCTGAAGCCTGGCACTGCCGACCAGGAAGTGACGTCAGTCATGAATCAGAAGAGCAGATCTAGCAGGTGTGTGTGTACGTGTGTAGACACACAAAAATACTCATATGTATTAGATGTGTACCGATCGATCGGGGACCGATCATAATCGGCCGATTTCCGTGAAAAGTGGATGATCGCCGATCACAGTCTCATGTTGCCGATCATCAAATGGATCACATTCATCTCACTTTATCTCCTCTCTCCTTCTCACTGCGCAAGCGCGCAGCATCACTTCCTGTCGTGTGAAACTTTAGCGATTGAAGAGTGAATGGGGACGTTTGCGTGTTAAGGTGGAAAATGACCATGTCAAAATGCTTCAATACAACGAATCTAATATGGCATTTAAAAACAAACACTTGACGGAGTTTGGCTCCATCGAGGCTCAATGCAGCAATAAAAGGACATCGGAGCGGCGAGACAGCAAAAGCCGCCATTAGCACGGTTAGAAAGCTAAACAAATCAACTGAAAAAGAATTCAAGTTTTTGACGCTGGTTCTGCTCTTGCTGTTGGATCGGCGCTACATGCTACTGGTAGCAATATTTGACATACAGAGGGACGGAGTGTCAGGCTCAACCTGACCCGGCAGTGACCGCTCACACCGAACCTCAAACAAAACCATTTTACATATAGAGGAAACTTTCGCTGTCCTAACAAGATAGATCATCTCTGGGGGAAAGAATCGGTCTCCTCTGCCCGCTTCCTGTGTTCTGCAGAATTCCTCAGCTCCGTCAGAACCAATCAGAACCAGCATTAATCAGCTGATAGCCAAGCTATCAGGAAGTTTTGATATCGTAACTCAGGACTGTTTATTTTGATGCAACCTGCATTCGACTTTGAATGAATGTTTTCTTTGCTTTACCTGCAGTAAAGCAAAACCTTTACTACTTCTTCTTCTTCTTCTTCTTCTTCTTCAGAGTGTCAGTTCAGATCATCCCAGTGTTGGCCTTGTTTGATTGTCAATAGTGACACATTTGAATAACTTCAGCCATTATTTTCACGAGGTCTTTTAATCTGTGGTCCATGCAGACATTTTGCACCAAAACATGTTCAACCACAAATCCCTTTCCTGACAACTTGTCTTGTTTCACTTCAGTTTTTCTTCCTTGGTTTCTCTCTTAATGTAGCCATTGCTCATTACACTTTATAGAATTAAAAGACTGTGGTCCGAAAGGACTAAACAACCTGGACGGGGATGTTAACCTTTCAGAGCAGAGAGTTTGTTCAGGGACACGAGGACAGAAGCTGCACAAGGACACACAGACATGGAAGACACGGAGAAGAACTTCTGTAAGGTCTCCAACAATTTATCGTTGGGTGAATGCCACACTTCAATCCATCCTGAATCTGCAAGGTGTCTCGCTCAGGAAAAGGTATTTATTAAGGCGTCATCCATTCCATGCTGTGCAAGCCTCATACATTCAGCTGTTAGACATCCAGGAAAACACGTTTCTCCCCCGTCCTCATGGAGCTGAGGGAGAGAAAACTGGGCATGGGAAGAGACTTTGAGATTTCATGTTTAGTGGACTTTGTCTAGGTCTCTGTATAGGTCTTTTTCTAGGTCTCTGTCTAGGTCTTTTTCTAGGTCTCTGTCTGGGTCTCTGTCTAGGTTTCTGTCTAGGTCTCTGTCTAGGTCTCTGTCTAGGTTTCTGTCTAGGTCTCTGTCTAGGTCTTTTTCTAGGTCTCTGTCTAGGTCTCTGTCTAGGTCTCTGTCTAGGTCTTTGTCTAGGTCTCTGTCTAGGTCTTTTTCTAGGTCTCTGTCTAGGTCTTTTTCTAGGTCTCTGTCTAGGTCTCTGTCTAGGTCTTTGTCTAGGTCTCTGTCTAGGTCTTTTTCTAGGTCTCTGTCTAGGTCTCTGTCTAGGTCTTTTTCTAGGTCTCTGTCTAGGTCTCTGTCTAGGTCTCTGTCTAGGTCTCTGTCTAGGTCTTTGTCTAGGTCTCTGTCTAGGTCTCTGTCTAGGTCTTTGTCTAGGTCTCTGTCTAGGTCTCTGTCTAGGTCTTTTTCTAGGTCTCTGTCTAGGTCTTTTTCTAGGTCTCTGTCTAGGTCTGGCTCAACTCTTTGGTGGAAATACAGATAGAGAATTGTACAGTGCAAGCACTTATTCAAAATGTGAGAGATTCCTTAGAGCTGTTGAGTAACGGCCCCATGATTGTACTTCCATCTTTACCGATCAGTAGTGTTGAAATAATATTTTAAATCAGCACAATACTGCACAGGATAGTTTTGATACATATGAAATATACCATAGAAAGTTAAAGTACACTCTACATTCACATAAATTTAGATAAAGATCCAAACTAAAACAACTGCTGAATCTCTGAACGTATATAAATTCTTAGGGAGGATTCGACAGAAAACAGGCCTAGAATCTCTTTAGACAAAGAGTCTGTCTGCCAGGCAATTAACAAATTCCTGAGCATGGTTCAAAAGTTCACTAGGATCTTAAAACTTTTTATAAATAATTTTATCTATATTAGAATTAAATATATTTCTTTAAGCATGTTTTGAATTAGTTACTTCTTAGATCGAAACTTATAGTCATTATTTAGCATTACATTTTGTGCAAGCTTGGTTAAAAATACAAACTAGTTTCTTGTGGAATCATTTGAGGCAGAGATAACGCTGCAGACCCACGCTATTAATCAGATCGCCTAAGAAGGCTGGTAGGAGAAGAGCTGGGTGTTTCAGTGGGTCTCAGAGATAATAAAATTAACATTTAAGACAGCCCACACAAAGGAAAAACACACCTCCTAATGCATATATTTAAATGAAGGGAATACACATTATTATAAAATGGTTTGTTTTAGAGCAGAAGTCCGAATCTCTTTGTGCTGAGTGAGAGTTTCCCAGAAGATGCATCTTTTGTTTCTGTCCTTTTTACTCAGTTAATTATTTCTGTTTTGTTATTTCTTGGACTTTTGATAATCTAGGTGAGATGCTTATTGTAACATTCTTCTTGCATTGAATTTCTCTGGATAAAACTCTGGATATCTGAAGTCTGATGTCGTATGATTGCTCTTTCTCCCTGCACACGTATACAGACACAAGAATCTAGAAAGAATCTAGGACAGAGGAATAAATTAACGAGCTAAATCAAGTTATTCCTCTTTTTAATTCTTAACAGTAGACAATACAGCATCTCTTTTTAGCTGTTGGTGAATTTGGGTGTCAAATAGATTTGTTCAGGCTGCGGATCAAAGTTAAATTACAAACGCTGCCTCACCGACAACAACATCCTGGTCTTTTTTCTGCCATAGTCGGCCACTTCAATCATTTAAAACACAAAGTAATTCCCAACCCAAGCATCGATGTACCTGGAAAATGTGGAACAGAAAGGAACCACCTGTCCTCTGTCATCTGCTGTGGTTCTGACCGAGCCCAGCTTTACACCAACATAATTCATGGACTGCAGACACTGAAGGCTGTTGATGAACATGTCTTCACTGCAGACAGCTGCTGCAGTGAAGACATGTACTGAAGGGGCTTCATTGATCTTTATGAGAAGGAAAGAAAGAAGAGAAAGGCCAGGTGAACATGTAAGGTGACCGTTTCTCCTGCCCCTCATCTTGAAAACGATAAAGGTGCTTTCGGAGAGGAGCTAGAAATTTCTAATTAGTTAAGGAAAATATCCCTGATGAGAGCATAAGTGAGCATTTTGAAGCTGGAAAAGTTTAAGTAATCAGTTACTTTAACTCATCAGTTAAAGTGACTGATGAATTCAGTTACTTTAGCATTCATGACAAGAGACATAAAATGTTCTGGGATGAAGTGTAATAAGATCAGACCGGTTTACTGTTTGCAAGTTTCTCTCCGGGCGCTCTGGCTTCCCGCCACAGTTCAAAATCATGACTGTTTAGTTAATTTGCCTCAATTCTCCTTAGATGTGAATAAAACATTAGTTTTGTGAACAACATGGTTGCACAGTGGATCACTTGGAAGTACTGTTGCCTTGCAGCAACAAAGTCCTGGGTTTGAATCCCCTCTCTCATAACCCACTTTCCTGACTACTACTATTAAATAAAGGCCACTAGAGCCTTTATTTCAGAATAAAGGTTCAGAAATAATTAAATGTATTTCTGACATGTAATTATAAAATGTCAGAAATAAATTTTGTAATAAAATTTCAGAAATAAAATATCAAAAAGAAATGAGCTGGTTTCTCTCCAGGCGCTCCAGCTTCTTGCTACAGTCTAAAATAATCAAATTTTAGACTGTAGCCAAATTGTCGACCAGACTGGCTACGGATACCGACTCAAGAACGGGGCCAACATCAGTCACTTTCTCTACATGGATGACATCAAGCTGTACGGCAAGAGTGAGCAAGACATCGACTCACTGATCCACACCACCAGGATCTACAGCACTGACATTGGGATGTCATTCGGACTAGAGATTGTGGTCGGCTGGTCACAAAGAGGGCGAAGGTCATCCGCACAGAAGGGGTCTCACTCCCAGAAGGAACAATAGCAGACATAGAGGACAGTTACAAGTACCTAGGTATACCACAAGCAAATGGTAACCTCAATGAGGTCACAAGGAAAAGAGCCACAGCTAAATACCTCCAACGAATAAGGCAGGTCCTGAGAAGCCAGCTCAATGGCAAGACCAAAATCCGTGTGATAAACAGCTATGCCTTGCCAGTAATCAGATACCCTGCAGGAATAATCAGCTGGCCAAAGGAGGAGATAAAAGACTAGAAAACTACTAACAATGCATGGAGGGTTCCACCCCAAATCCAGCACCCTGAGACTGTACACGAGCCGCAAGGAAGGAGGCAGAGGACTAGTGAGTGTGAGAACCACTGTCCAGGACGAAACAACTAAGATCCATAGATACATCAGGGACAAAGCCTCAACAGACAATGTGCTCAGTGAATGTCTCAGACAACAGGGAATGAGGTTGAGGTGCCAGAGATACCATCATGGGAGTACAAGCCCCTACATGGGATGTACCACCAGCAAATAACCCAAGTGGCTGATATCAGTAAATCCTACCAATGGCTGGAAAAAGCTGGACTCAAGGACAGCACAGAGGCCCTCATCCTGGCCGCCCAGGAACAGACCCTAAACACCAGAGCAATAGAGGCCCAGATCTACCACCAGACAAGACCCAAAGTGTAGGTTGTGCAAGGAGGCCCCTGAGACAGTCCAGCACATAACAGCAGGGTGCAAGATACTGGCAGGGAAAGCATACATGGAACGACATAACCAAGTGGCAGGCATAGTGTACAGAAACATCTGTGCAGAATATGGACTGGAAACCCGAGATCAAAGTGGGAAACACCCCCAAAGGTGGTGGAGAACACCAGAGCTAAGATCCTGTGGGACTTCCAGATCCAGACAGACAGAATGGTAATGGCGAACCAACCAGACATTGTCGTAGTGGATAAACAACAGAGGAAAACTGTTGTGGTAGATGTAGCAATACCAAGTGACTGCAACATCAGGACAAAGGAGAAACTGGAGAAATACCAGGGCCTCAGGGAGGAACTGGAGAGGGCCTGGAAGGTGAAGACCACAGTGGTGCCTGTGGTCATTGGGGCCCTCGGGGCAGTCACCCCCAAACTGGATCAATGGCTACAACAGATCCCAGGAACAACATCAGACATCTCAGTCCAGAAATGTGCAGCAGTGCAGTCCTTGGCACAGCCAAGATACTGCAGGACCCTCAAGCTCCCAGGCCTCTGGTAGAGGACCCGAGCTCAGAGGATAAGAACCACCCGCAGTGGGTGAGAAGGAATTTTTATTTATATAGAAATAGATTTTTTGGTAACACTTTATTTAAAGGTTTCTTCACAAGTCAGATATGATTCTAATATAAACATGACATAACATCTGTTGTGAAGAATACTTTATGAATATTCGTGCTTATTGTCATGGAAATGTAATTCGGTAAATAATGACACTTATTGCAAAGTTTGCACTTTTAACAAACTTTTGATGCAACTTTTAGAGCAACTTTGCATTACAAGTGTAATTATTTATTGAATGACACTTCTTGACAACAGTCATAAACATTCATAGTCTTCTTGTTCATGACAACTGTTATGTTATGTTTATGATAGTTTCATGTCAGTCTTATGCACAATCTGTCAAATAAAGTGATAGCAATTTGGTCTTCTTCGACAGAATAACCTACACAAATATCACCAATATTTTTCTGATCACAATTTTGTGTTTAGAAGGGCAAAAGTAGTTATTTTGGGACTAAAGCATCATAAAATAATAAACTCAGATAACTTGTTCAATTATTTGTTTAATGAATGGGACCTATATGTGCTCCAGAGCTAAAACCAAGATATTTGTGTTGTATGCAGACAATCTGTGGAGTCCGAGGAGCCGAAGCCCTTCCTGGAGGCGGAGCAGAGACTGGAGAGGATCCGCCTGAGCATGCAGGAGAAGGAAAGTCAGGAGCTGGAGCACATCAGACACAGGCAGTTTGAGGCTGAGCAGGAGCTGGAAGAGCTGAAGAGGAGACGGGAAGAGAGACGGCAAGCTCGAAAGGAAGAGGAGCGCCAGAGGGAGGACGAGGAAAAGCAGCAGCTGGCTGCTGAGGAGGTGCTTTAAGCAGAACGAGTGAAATAAAAATACAATCCTTTGGCTGGATGTAGATATTTACAGAAGTGGAGGAAATGTATCATCAATAAAATAGCTTAGAGATGAACCCAAACATTTTTGCACATTTCAGCAACAAGGCAGCAAAGTCAATATTTCAGTTAAGCAGCACAATCAAGTCCTCAAACTTTCAGGGTGAATTGAGGTTAGGTTGTGTTTTTGTAAGAAGGAGCTGCTGTTGTGACCAAAGTAAAAAAAACAAAAAAAACATTTCCTTTTATATCAGCCAGAATACTTTGGAAATGATGACTTCACTGAGGAATGTTCAGGGAGGAAAATGATGTCTGTTTCATATGAGACCATAATGCACCGCATGATGTGATTGAGTGGTTTGGAATTCCATTCAGGAGGAAAGAACAAAGATGAGGGAAGACATGGAGCGGAGGAGGATGGAAGCAGCAGAAAGGATGAAGAGCCTCAGAACGTCCAGTGCAGAAGGAGAGGAGGCGTTCAGTCCCAAAGTTTCAACACTCAAGGTGATAAAAACTGAACAGCATGACTTTGTTTTCAGCTGCAAAACCATAAAACACTTTTTATTATTATTTTGTGTCGTGCTATTCAGCATCATCTAGCCCAGGGGTGCTCAATACGACAATTGTGATCGACCGGTCGATCGCGGGGAGGTTTTGAGTCGATCTCGGCAGGAAGTGACAAACTGAAGGCCTCCAGGACGCTGAGACCAGAACTTCCTCTTCTGACAGGCTTATAAAAATATTCACTAAGATCCAAAACGTTTATAGCTTCATTAAAGAAGAATCATTTTAAAAAACCGCAAAACGTGTTTAAATTAATAATCAGTAATTATTGTTTCAACAAGGTGTTGGGTCATCCAGTGCATTTCGCTTCCATTAATGATAAAAAGGTGAATCAAAGACCAACTGACCAGCAGAGCAGGAGTTTAAATGAGCTGATCAACCACCGCTGTGTTCATGAGCGGCTCATTAATAATCAATAAATATCAAGCCTTGATATGGGAATGGACCGAGTGTTATGTTTGGAATGTAATCTTTGCTCGGCTTGTGGGGCCCAGGTGGTTGTCACGGCAACGGCATGATAAAGAGAGAGAGAGAGTGAAACGGTGCGAGTGGTTCTGAGTTGATCACCTGTTGGGGTTGTTTGACCTTTGTTGACCTTCGCTGTGGTTCATCACAGCCGCTGGAGTTTCTGAACGTTCAATAAACGACAGACTTGGACTTTACTGATTTTCAAATGACCTCGTTTATTTACAGTAAACATCACAACAAACATCAAATAGGACAAATATATTGCATTAAGTTTTAACAAACAAATGGTTTCTACCATTATGATTATGTGAAACTAAATGAATTATGTTCCAAATTCAGCAGATTTGCCTTTACCTCTGCAGAGCTCTTTGGTTCCTCCTATCAGTCTGCAGTTTCTTATAGTGATGTCATCAAACCAAATTTCAGATCTGTCATAACTGACTGACAGCTGCTGACCTCAGGTTTACAACCAGTAATCTCATCCCAGAGTTAGAATCTCACTGAGGAAGAAACTGCATTAGGTTTTCTATCACTTTAATATTTCTGTTATAATTGATGTACATTCGCATATAAAATAAGTGTATAGGATTTAATTTACAATTTTTATGACTTCATGTCATGAGGTAGATCTCAGCCGGCTGCTGATGGAAAAAGTGGATCTTGGTCTGAAAAAGTTTGAGCACCCCTGATCAAGTCTTATACAACCAAAAAGAGCTTAAGCGGAATGTTTTCAGAACTTTACACTTTGCATCTGACCTCCATATTGAGTTAAAATCTGGAAAAATAATAAATTTAAGTAGAACTAAGCTTGTATCTGTTCTGGATGAAACAAAAAAAGAATGATATGAATGCATCAGATGACAATAACTTTGTTAGCTGATGACTTTATTTTTTTGTTGTTAAATGAAATGAAAGTTGCATTAAAATGCCATCTGGTAAAATCCAACGTTATGCCTCAAGAAGCTTTTAACAGGATACCACCATGTTTATCTCACCTTTATAATTTATCAGTTTAATTAAAGATTTTGCTACCTAGTTTAATTAATCCTCAGTCTTAATCTTGCTTACAATCAATTACAAAGAACATTAAAAACAACCAAAAACAGAAGCAGCAGACCAGGCTTTCTTATTTGACTTTTGTCAACTTTATTGAACATGCAAAAAAGGAATGAACATAACTCTGTGTTCTCTTTGCAGCTGATGGGTTCAGTCTTTAAGCTTTTGTAAGTTGCATGTGTGTGTGTGTGTGTGGGGGGGGGGGGGGGTGTGCATGTGAGTTTGTAAAGCCAGCATGTCTTGGCTGCACCTTGGCAGCATGCGATGTTTTTTAAAGTTCACTGATTGATAATACCACCCTTACATTGCTTTCAAATGTTTAAGACTTCATGAACAAATGAGACCACACATCGAGATAAAATGAATAAAACGACATGCTGACCTTTTTGTCTCACTGTGAACTTCAATCAGTTCAAACTAGAAATGGAAATACCACATTTATTTTCATTATGCTGCATGCCACAGAAATGTGTATTTTAATCTTTTGATCAATAAACTATGCCAGGGGTCGGCAACCCACGGCTCTGGAGCCGCATGCGGCTCTTTAGCGCCGCTCTAGTGGCTCTTTGGAGCTTCATCAAAAATGTTTGAAAATGGGAAAAGATGGGGCTGGGAAATATATTTTTTGTTTAATTATGGTTTCTATCGGAGGACAAACACGACACAATCATTCTTAACATTTTCCAATGTTATAAAAATGTAGAAGAAACATTCAATTCTACAATTCTTGGACCGAATCATCTGCATTTGTTGCCAGTGTGGAAGAATTGCCTGAATGTTCGCTCTGCAGTGACAAGTTGTCAAATAACTAAAAGAGTACCGTACTTTCCGGAGCGCACCTCAATGAAAGCCGAAACTACACATTTTTTGGAAAAAAATAAAAAACTGAAAACATACATAAATAAGCGATATAGTAATTTTCATCAGTATACATTTAGAATGACACTTAGCGATATTATTTTGTGTCGTTGCTCATGGCTGCTTTGTGTTACTGTTGCACTGACTTGCTTGGCATTTGCACAGAAATTGAACTTAAACTCTTAATTTTATATACTTTACGTTTTCAAAAGGCTGCCGATTTATTATGCTCCTTTTGTAGTTTTTTTGATCACACACTTAACGGTAATTATTCACAAAGAGCGATCATCGTTATGCAAATTGCATTTCGGGGGCAGATTTTCCGTGTTCCAAAAAGGGAAAAAAATGACACTTTCCCTGTCGCTCTTCATAATAAAAATGATATCAAAAATCTGATTTCTTTATTGCGTTTCTTTAATTTTGTAAATACATTCATATTGTAACAGAAGATTAACTTAAAGCTCCATCGTACAACAGAAGAGTCACGTGATGCGTCATTCCTTCCAGGACGCACTGCAGGGAAAATAAACATTTAATCATGAATACTAATTATGTATACACTTAGTCATTTTGATAATACGCTAATGTAAACACCTAGAGCCTGTTTTGCCTTATATAAAAGCCTTATATACGACTTTTACTTTTTTGCAGCTCCAAACAGATTTGTTTTTCGTTTTTTGGGTCCAATACAGCTCTTTCAACATGTTGGGTTGCCGACCTCTGAACTATGCAAACTATTGACACTTGCAGCCATCCACTCTGCCTTATGTTTCAGTGATTTTTGCTCTCTAATTCATCAAAATGCCATCAGTTAATTCTTTCATGCAGCAATATTTTGACTGAAACATATTCTGATTACAATTAGCTCAATTTTGAAAAGGTACCATGTTATCCCAGTCCTGTCCTCATCATCAGCCCTGACAGAAGACAAAGCAGCTTTTATTTGAAATGACTCAGGTGTCACCATGTTGATCAGGACTGCCTGCTAGACGAGATGCTCGATGGCTTTCTGCTTGAAAAATCACTTTGAATCTCACGGTCACAACTAAGTGTTAAACATTTCAAAGAGTTTGGTAAGCATGTGTTGCACCATGGACATCTGGGGCTTTGTTTAGGAACTTGACAGTCTGAAGGTATGACGCATGACCCAAACCTTTTTTCTTTTTCAGATCACAGAAAGAACCAACTCCCTGAATCGTTCGCTGAAGAAAAGGTAACTATGTTCTCAGTCTTTGTTTTTATTTTTTCATGAGAAAAAAAAGGCAATTCATTCATCAAAACTGTTGAAAAAATATTTTAAATGTTTTCAAGATTCTATTCAAAGTAAAACAGAATACGGCTGCTAGACTCTTGTTCAGTCCACGGTGTCCAAAGTGTGGCTGGTGGGCCGTTGGTGGCCGTCAGAATGATGTTTTGTGATACACAGTCACTATCCAAGAAATTTGGTCAAACTCAAAGGCGGCTGATGCAGATACGTTACTTTTTAAATCAAAATCAAATCAAATTTTATTTGTATAGCACATTTCAGCAGCAAGGCATTTCAAAGTGCTTTACATCAGAAACACAAAAACACAAAGTCATGCATCATAGAATAAACAATACATTGTTACATATTACATTTCAAATACAATTCTAATCAGGTGTGTTTTCAGTTGAGATTTAAAGGAAGTCAGGGTTTCTGCTGTTTTACAGTTTTCTGGAAGTTTGTTCCAGATTTTTGGTGCATAGATGCTGAAAGCTGCTTCTCCTCTCTTGGTTCTGGTTCTGGGGATGCAGAGCGGACCAGAACCAGAACCTGAGAGTCTGGAAGGTTGATACAACAACAGCAGATCTTTGATGTATTGTGGTGCTAAACCGTTCAGTGATTTATAAACTAACAACAGTATTTTAAAGTCTATTCTTTGAGCTACAAGAAGCCAGTGGAGGGACTTTAAAACTGCTGTTATGTCTCTATCTTCCTGGTTTTAGTGAGAACAGGAGCAGCAGCTTCTGGATCAGCTGCAGCTGGAGGATTGATTTGTTTTAAAGATTATATGGTTGTAATTTTCACTAACTTAGAGCTTTTAGCGTAAAATAAGTTAAATAAACATTTAATCCAAATATTTCAATGACCATATTTTATTTCCTTTGATTTTAACAGTCATAATACATAAGACCAATAAGAACTTCCAACAAGTTGTCTTTATTGCACCCATTCAGTTAACTTCCCTAAAGAACAAAGAGTTCTTGTTTCTGACAAAGGCTAAAAATACGCCACCAAAAAAAAACCTAACTCCACATAGTGTCAGCCTTTCCTTAATGAACAACCATTTAAATACTTCAGATCTGAAGGGATTTATAGATTCACCCTCTTAACAAAACTCTGACAACTTTACACTGTTCATGTGATGTGTTTGGTTCTTTCTTCATGAGATTAAAGAAAATATACAAGAAATGTTTCAATTTCAATTTGTGGGCTTTCATTATTTTCATGTAAATGATTTTGGCTTGAATACTAAGAGGCTTGGACATCACAAGTTAAAGCAGCCGATGAACAAAGATTGCTGCCCTCTTGCTAGTCTATAAAGTTAATATTTAACCTTCTGATATTTCTCAAAGAGGCAGTTTTTGAAACCAACCCATGTTGGAGAGACAAAACTTTCCACCATGAAATGTTTTCCTAATTAACATTACCAGCCCTGGTCTGAAAAAAGGTGTAATTTGGAAGAACTTTGAAATCACTTTAAATTTACTTTAGTAGAAAATGTTTTTATTAATCATTATGCCGAAAGTTGAATGGCTAATTCTTCAGTTGTTTGTCCTAACTGCTTCATAGATGCTGATTAACTCTCAGTTGCCTCAAGTTAAGACAGGCAACTAACTTTGACCACAAGGAAGAAGGTCAAAGGAGACCCCCGCCAACACATATTTTTCAGGATATAATACTACTAGGTTGTGATTCATAGCTCTGTTTAACGGAGTCCAGATGTCAGAGACTATCTTTGGTGGGTGAGGGACGACGGCTCCAGGCAGTCTGCACAAGGAAATGAGGAACTTTCAAGACAAGGGAAGCTCTGTCAGGATGTATAAGTTCAAGATCATTTAATTTCCTTGTTGATAGCTTTTGAGAATTCAAACTTGATATTTTCTAAAGAAGAATAACTCAATAACATCTCTATTGACTGAATCCAATCCTTTATTAAAAAAATGGTACTTAAACTCTTCTGCTTGAGGCAGAAGACTTAATCCAGAGTGGACAGTCCAACATTGGGCAGACTCCTTTTGGATTGCCTGATTGTCAGTTGGTACAAAGAAAATATATGAGGATGCCTTCAGGAAATGTATGGAAATATCTGACATACAAAGGTAAAACAGCAATTGCTTAGTCTTGACCAGTGGTTCTTAACCTTTTCTGAGGTACCAAACCCACCAGTTTCATATCCGCATTCACTGAACCCTTCTTTAGTGATAAATAAAATATGATTTTTTTTCCCAAATTCAAGGCTTTTTTTTTTTTTACTGGTGCACAAAATGAGTCATGCATGAACATCACCTTGCTCAAAGAACAAAACCAACACAACAAATTACGCTGTTACTTTATTCTGGCCCCAAAACAATATTTTGGCCTCATAAAAGAATTTCAGCCCACAAAAAAACTAAATAAATAATAATAATAATATATATATATATATATGTAAAAAAATTTTTTTACTTTTTTAGCTATTTTACGAATTAAAAGTACATTTGGATTTTTAAAAAAAATTTAATATTTTTTAACAACAAAATTTTTTTCAATTTGAAATTGTATTTGTTTTTTGTTGTTTTGAATCCACAAAATACTTTTTTACTTTTCCCCATCTCCATCAAGAAGTGTTCCCTTAGTTTTGCTGGTGCGAGACTAGAGTTGCTCAACTTGGCATTGCATATCATGCAGATGGGACGCCGACTCCCATCCTGTTCTGTTATATACAGAATGGGATCTATGTTGCATGTGAATCCACGTTGTACATATTCGTGCGATCACTTTCCTTTTTTGCTCGACATGTTTAGTATGGATAAAAAATCGAGAAAGAAACCACACGACATCCAACTACGACAGCCGTTGAATACTGAGTGGACTAAATTCCCCGCAGTTCTGATTGGCCAAGGAATGTCACGTGATCCTCTGCAGCAAAGTGACGGCCAAGCGGGGCGTGTCATCACGACTTTACACAATGTGTCATTACCTCCACGGCAGAGGCTCCGCCGAAACCCTGAGACCGACTCATAGAACTCCTAGGGCTCCATGGAACCCAGGTTAAGAACCACTGGTCTAGACTATCTGTTTTTGTTTAGGAAAAAAGAGGTTCTCTCAAATGACACATCATGACAGCTATGTGAAAAGTTGCACACAGTTATCTGTCTTATCTAGTTAACCGTTTGTGGCTTTCATTTTAACAGTGTCTTGTGTCTAATTTAGCAACAGTTTCAAGAAGACTCAGCCTCCCTTCCTCCTGACCAGGATCGATGATAAGATGGAGCAGTACACTCACGCTGTGGAGGTCAGCATCCCACATGTGTCCAGCATTAAACAAAAAGTACATGTTTATATTTTTCAGTTATGTTGGATATATTACTGAAAATAATTATAACTACTACTGAAAATACTAAAAATAATTATTTTCAGTAATATAAAATATTATTTGATGTATTATTCATTTTGATGCAGTGATATAGACACATTTTAAGGGCCAACCATTTAAAGATAAGGCAGCATACATATTTCAAACTAGAAAGGTTGTATTGAACATATGTTTAAAAACATTTAATGTGTTTACTGCAGGATAAGTGAACCTCCTCAATATAACAATACCCTATACATGAGACTTCATAAACATAGTCAGGTTATGTACATACTGGTAACACAGATTTCCCTCTCAGAAAACCTCCCAGGACTCGCGGGCACTGAAGGCTTCGCTCTCTGACCTTCCCAACTCCCCAGAGGTCGTTGCCTCCAAGAAGAATCTGTTTGAGGCTGGAGAGGCCTGGAGCCTGAACAAAGGAGCAAGATGCAGGGTGACAAAACACACACAGTTTGTTTGTTGCTGATGTATGGCATAAATATCTAGAATGAGCTTAGACCAATTTTTACAGACCTCCAACTGGGACTGTGCAGACTTTACTCACTCTCGTGACTTCTGACATCTCACTGAAAGAAGCTTAAACTGTAAGAACAATGTGATGAAATTATGTAGCAATTTTGAGACTGCAACTATTTTAAACCTTCATATTGCTTGATTCTCTGCCTATAGGCTGACAAGTTGACCAGTTGTATGCAGACTAAGAAAAGTTAGATGATATTTACTTCATATGGCACCAGAATAATTCATATGTCCCCAGGCACTTAACAGATTGTTCCAACTCACTTCAGATATGTAGGATTTAAATTGGATTTAAACGATCCAATATTCAGACTCATATCCAATCATAGTGTAGTTGAATCATAACTATAAATCGCGTCATAAATTGGTAAACAGTTTAGTGGTAGTTTTACAACCATCAATTTAAACCCTTCAAAAATGTTTAACAGTCACATTTTAAGGCTAATTTAATTGTCCTCTCTGCTTATGTTTCTGCTGATTTCACATTCTAGGCAAAAATGTACATTGTGAAAATGATTCAGCAATCATTATAGACTTTGCTGACTACAATAACTCCAACAGACTTGTCTTGAAGTCTTGGGTCAGATCTGTGTATTTAACCTCTTCAGAGAAAGTTTTCAAAATGTCTGTCAGTACTGATCAAGAAGAGCAACTTTCAGTTGAGTTTGTGACAAGTACAGCAGAGAAATGTTGCACATTTTTCTGCTTAAAATAGAAGAAAATTGTTTTATTTTGTATAAAATAACTTCATTATCTGTCTGCTGATTTGGGATCAGCAAAACAGATGACATGTGTGTTCTGCAGTCTGTAATGATTGACATCAATAATATAAATTTATATGATAAATTGATTGTGTACATGTAAGATTACTTTAAAATGATTTGCAAAATACAAATTATATAATAATTTGACTTCTTTCCACTAATCACCTCAATCTTGTCTCAGATTAAAGAATTTGGAAATAATAAAATCACATTTTTACTCCCTCATTTTCCTTTGTAATGCTAAAACAATGAAATGGTTGTAAAACTGAAGTCCATGTTGTCTTTCCTCTACTTTCTGAATCAGGACACTGGCAGTCTGAAAGTGGGCGTGGCCAGCCTGATCAGACACTGGGTGAAAGGCCCCTCAGGGCCCAGCAGCAAACAGTCCCCATCCCGACCGTCTGTAAGTCCACTTTGAATCTTCTGAATTTGTTCTCTTATGTCAAATAAAGAAAAACATTTTTCTAAACATAATCTCTGGTTTCTAAGCATAAGTTCATAGTTGTGCAGTGACATCTTATTCTGAGTGTAACATCTGATGTGGCAGTGATGTGTTCATTCTTATGGTGAAGTGTCTTCTGTCTCTGTCTTTGACATTTAGTGTTGTTTATTTATTCACTTTTAATCTTTTCTAGGCTTTGTTTTGCATTTTTCTCTTTTTTACACTCTATTTTCTCAAGCAAAATCAATATAAAACTCTTCTTTGACTTGTCCCCTGTATGGCACAACAAGAAGCAGCTAAAGCAGATAAAGCAGCTAAAGCTAACCTGGCTAAAGTCTCTGCATGAGAACATGCCATCAACAGCAAACAAGAAGTTAAACAAACTCATAAAAATGAAATAAAGCTTGTGCGTCTTTGCTAGAGCTTACATTCTCATCAAGAACTGGATGATGCAGCACCCTGGATCTGATAACTATTTGGCTCGCTTTATTAGGATGATAAATCAGACTTGGCTGCTACCAGGCTGCGCCCTGCACTGAGGTAAAACCAGGTGTCTGTGTTTTTACACAAGCAGAGAGAAGTAAAACTGAATTGTTCACTGGTTTTTGGGTGGCTGTTGCTTAAGTGTAATAAGAACTCTAACTCAAGCAGACTCCACATGGCATTCATCTATTTCTTTGATAGATAAATCTGACATCTTGGTTTCATCATCCACACTAGCAAGCTGGTTTTATCAGAGTTTTGTATGAAGAATGAAAGACTGACTGTCACGTAGTTAGCCCCCTGAAGAGGAGTCTCAAAGTGCATCATTTTTAGGTAGGACAAGTCATTTAACACAAAACATGAACTAATTAACCCAAAATGTTGACATTCATCTCATTTGAATGAATCATAGTCATATAATTACGAGTTCCCAGATGGTGGAGAAAACGCAGCAATTTGTTGTTTGTTTACCGTTAATAAGACGAGTTGGTAGAAAAAATCAACAAAAATGGAAGACAGTCAGCATTTTGCTGTTTCTTTTCTTTTTATTGTTGGTCAGGTAATCATGTCTGGTTGGTTGGTAGTCAGTTCAAACAAACCGACTGTGTCCAGATTTCAAAATCCCAAATGAAATAAATGAATACTTGTTGACTGGAGTTGAGTTCTTTTCTCTCACACACTCAAGTGCCGATGGTTGGACTTTCTGAGACTTCCAGTTACAATGATATGATTACTGTATTTATTCAAGTCGGGATTATAATGAAGTGAATGTAATTTGATTGGAATCAGTCCATATGATAGGATTTGACTTGACTCCGGTTTATGGATAAACAGATTCCTCCTCCTCTGTTTTCACCTGAGAGTTCTAACAGTTCTGTTCTCCTTCTGGATGCGATTTCCAGGATGTGACATCTGGAGGCGTGCTGCAGAAGAAGAACATGTGGGAAATATGTGGAGACCCATCAGGGAGGAGTGAACAGAAAGCAAAGGTTTGTAGCAACTGCTTTTTTTTTCTCTTTCAAAATAACAGCTGGACCATGGCTGCAAGTCTCTTTATGTCAGAATTACGCAGCATTGTTACAGTGAAGCTGAGTACATCTTTAAATTCTAGAATGTTCTGTATCTTTCTGTGAGTTCTGTACGTATGTAGAGATAAAAGTTATTCATAATGCACCACAGGACAAAATGTTAGCAGAAGTGAGGAAAAGAGAGACGTTCTCTGAATCATGGATTGAACTGTGCAAACAGCAGGCACTGCATGTTGATGCTGTGTCTGCATCAACATGCAAGCACAGCATATGTAATAGTTTCATCATGGCACGATTCTCTTAATCCAGTCTGGACTGTATGATCATTAATTTATATCCACTGATTTGTGTTTTTTGTGCCTTTTTAGTTTTGTGCATTAACTAATCAAAGTCAAGATTAGACCTTATTGATTCATTTCAGAAAGACAATCAGTAAAGGCTACCTGGCCGTAATATTTAATATTTTTTCAATCTTTGGTAATTTGTCTGATGGGATAAGATTTTTTTGTTGTTTTTTTTCTTTGATGTTTGATCAACACTCCTCATCAGTGGGTGGCAGTAATGCTCCTTTAAATTATTTTCCAACCGCTGTTGAACAGAAGTTGAAGAAGAGCCGATCACAAGACGGCATCAGCCCGAGCAACAGGATCAATCACACCTCCTCATTCATTCAGACAGGAGTTTTCTGTTGTCTCCTTGCTCAGAGTGGCTTCAGCACCTGAATCACTCTGATGTTTATGGACGTGTAGGGAAAACCTTAACCCTCCAGGTCAAAGGGTCAATCTGAACAAAAATCAAAGGGCTTTTAACAGAAATAAACTCATTTCTGTCTCATCTCTCCACAGCCAACACCACATGGGAAAAAACATACATTTATTGTCACTGGTCATGGAAAATATGAGAAGATCTCTGTAGATGAATGTGGAGACTTCAGTCAAAGTGCCGGTAGGAACTTCATCACAAATAGAGCAACACAACAAACAGGATCGGCTTTCATTTTAGGTTTTATTTCTGATCATTAAATTTGCTTCAGTCTTTTTTTTTTAATTTAGAAATTGGAACAAATTCCTTCATACAACCACATTTTTAACTGAAAGTCAGCTGAAATGTATTTGAATTATATGCTTCATTTTTTTTCCTGTGTGCATCCTAATCTATTTGAATTTGAGACAAAGTGGCAATGAAACATCATTTCAAGATGTCATTTAGTACATGGAGGTTATTTTTTACATTGCAAAAGCTAAACATGCCAGGCAGTTTGGGTTTGACTTCTAAATCAAATTCTTTCCCTAAAAGAAAAGATGAAACTTGGCTTTTGTTGACGAAAATCTTTATTTTGAAAGTAATTAGACTTTATTATTGTGTCTATTAGAGAAAATGGAGTCATTTGAAAAGTAGACTTTTGTCCACTCCCCAATAAAAGTGTTGATCAAGGGAAGATGATACGTAGTAAAAAAAAAAGATACTCAACAACTACAGCCAAGAAGCGCAGAGCTTTCTACCATCCCATCATCCCTCACCATGTAACTAACATGCTGTACAGCCCTTTGTCTGCTTTTCATTCCTTTTCTCTTAAAACTTTAACAACTCACAAAAAAACACTCTACATTTTCTCTACATTATTTATTTCTTTTTGACCTCTAAAACGCTGTCTATAGCCTTCAGTCGCTTCGATTTAAGATAAGTGTCTGCCTAATGTTCCAAATGAAAATCATAGTGATTATATAGCACAGTGGTTTGTTTATTACTGTTGCTGAATTTATTATTATGGAGGTTTACTAGGAGTGGATGAATTACTTGTGCCTTAATAGGTGATTCCCTTCCATCCTGCAGTTTTTGAGGGACACATTAAACATTATTGTTCATCTAAACTTTCCCACTTTTCTCTTCTATCACTGAGGTGAGTGTTTTCAAAGAACAGATGAAAAATATCTACAAACTCTACATAAGCATTTATCATTTCCTCAGAGGTGTTATGTTGTGGCAAACAACACAATTTGGTTAAAAAAAAAAGCTGTTTTTTTATTTTGATTATGAATTAACATATAATCAAACATTTCTTGATAAATATAAAAATACTGGAAGATTGTACACATGCAGCAACCATGTACATACATATTCAGTGGCTCAGCAGCATCTCTAAAAGTGTATTGAAAGAAGCAAATGGAAATTGTCAGATTACGTAAACACTTTAATGTTTTGTGATGTCTGGAGACATTTAACACAAGTTAGCTCGTTTTTGCTTACTAATAAAAATAAAACATCTAACACCCATTAAGCTACCGTCATACTCTAATGCATTTGTCAAGTATAAAGTTGGGATTTAGTTTCCTTCAGCAGTGTTCAGAAGTCTCACGTTAACAGAGAAATTAATGTAGAGCTGTACATTAACTTACAGAACAAGTTTAGCCGTGGTTTAATGTGGACATTTCATATCAGGCATAGTTTAAGAAGCAGCAAACCCTCTGGCCTTCCTGTTAAAGTCTTTTGGTTCCTCTTCTTTACCTTTCCGCCCAATCAGACCCATTTCAAACACAACAGAGATTTTTGACACTGGTCTTGAGGCGGCTTCTTTCAGCTTCTTAGCATCAAATCTGGGGCTGAAAAGCAACACGGGTAGCCTGAACGCAAACGAAGGGACCTCCTTCTGCTCATTGCTTTTCTCCTCATTTTTCTCATCTTCACTTTTGTTTAGTTCAATCTGATGCATTATGTTTTCCTTGGAGGAGAACATCTGGAAGAGGACGGCGTCCCACATCTTAGTTGCCTTTGGAGTGTCTGTGTCTTTGGGTGTAGCTAGCTTCTCAGCCTGACCACTTGGCTTCTCTTCTAGCCTCATCTCTTCACTCTGGTCCTGCCCTTGGATCTCAGCTTGAGAACCTGTCTCTGGGAATTTTGGTTCCTCCTGTTCCACCACCATGTGTTTCTTTAGTCGCGACCACCCACTTGCTGTTGATTTCATCCCCTTTGACTTTTGCGTGACATTAAGAAGCGATGCTGCTGCTGATGCTGCTGCTGCTGCTGCAGGGGAGTCATCAGCACCCTTTTTGTCAGGTTTATCTGCTGAACATGTTTCTGTGTTGTTGTTTTTATTGCTTTTAGTTGACTTGGTAGAAGGGGCCTCAATAGGAAGAGTAGTTTCAGCAGGAACTGATTTTGAGCTTTCATGCTTAATCTGCGTAACAGGTGTCTTTGGTTCTGTTATGACAGATTTGTCAGCTTTCAAGTCAGATTTTGCTTTCTCCTCATTGGTCTGGACCTTCCCTGTACTCAAAAGCTTTTTTATGACCTTCAGGGAATCTTGGTCGCCACTCTTTAGAAGAGGATCTATTATTTTTGTCTTTGTAATTACTGTGGTTTTTTCCTTCTGGTTTTCAAAAGACATAGCCATTGCTTTTGGCATTTCTTGAGTCGCTGTTGCCGCTTGTTTTGCTGCAACTGGACTGGTTGCTGTACATGGATCTTGTATTGATATTGTTCCTGTTGAGTCAGATGGTGTTGAAACTACAATAACTGGGATTGTGACACTGGGACCAGCCTGTACTTGACTCTGGTCCAGCTTTTCCTCACATCTAGTGGTGTCCTGTCTTTCAGAGATTTCAACCGATGATTGTTCCTTTGCAATTGCTTCGTCACTACTCTGTTTTGAAGATTCGTTTTCAACTTTAATCTTATCTTGTGTTGGTGTCACTGAGGTTGTAATGCCAAATGCAGGTGAATATGTTTTGATTCCACCGTAAGCAGCGTATTCAGCTGGTGTAAGTCCGCGGTAAGCAGACTTTGACTTTTGAGAGTCTGGGGTTTTAGGTCTCTGAAAGGCCACATGTGAAATAGATGATGGTAACGCCTTTTGCTTTTTGTAGCCTAGCGATGTGGTCAAAAGGCGAGAGGCTTCATAAGTTGGGGTTTTTGGCCTTTGATAAGCAGTGGCTACTTGTGTTGAAGACAGAGATACAGGAGTTACTGCTCTTTGAGAGCCAACCGCTGAAACCGAGATCACTCTCCTTGTCAGATCAGACTCTGATTTTGACTTTGTCATACTTTGTTTTATAGAGTTGTCTGCAGGTGTCACATCTGAGTGGACATCCCCATTTAGTAAAGTTTCAGGAAGCTCTGTTGTCTTCAGATGAAGGGAGGGCAATGAAGTGCTCACAGTAGAAATTGTTTGGGGTGACCTTGACCTCTCTAGATCAACTGTGATTGGTGACACCGCAAACAAAAGAGGATTGGGTCGCGAGATTTCAAAGACGGGCGTTGCGGCTCGGCTGATGTGGTATGCTGGGGTTTTAGGTCGCCTGGACGACAGAAACTCATAAGTTGGTGTTTGAACTCTGACCTCAGATGTTGGGGTGGTGGTTTTATGTTCAGCTGTTTGAGTTGGTCTTGTTGTTTCTATGTTTGGAGTTGGAGTGACTCGTTTGATTTCTGACACTGGAGTGACTCGCTGGGTTTCTATCGTTGGAGTGACTCTTCTTACTTCAGCCTTTGGGGCGGCTCCTTTTACTTCTGTTGCTGGAGTCTTTCTACCAGGATCTAGGTCGAATAAAGGAGGCCGCATTGTTGTGGTCGTTGCCTTCCCTCCTCTGATCTCAGATGCTGTGAGCACTTCTTGTTTTGTTTCTGCTAATGTTTTACTTTGAAGTACTATGCTGCCAATAGCAGTTAATCCAGCCGTGTCGTACACTGGAGGTGTCCTGGATGTCTCATAATAGGAAGTGCTTGCTGTATACATCCTAATCTGAGGCACTTCAAACATTGGCTTTGGTGATTTTGAAGGCTCAGTTGCTTTAAATGTTGGACGTGGACTTTTAGATTTTATGAGTGGGGCCAACACAGTAAGAGGTCGAACCACAGGTTGACCCGCTGGTACCGGATGTTGAGTTGCACCTGAACTTGTGATTTTTGAATGTGGGGTGCCTGCATAAGGGGCAGGTCTCAAACCAGCGTGGCTTTCAGTAAATGTTTCCAGTTCAGTTGTTTGTATGCTTACCTCAGGCACAAAGGAATATGGCGGTGATTGCTTTGCTTCTCCTGGAGAAGCTAAGACTTTGGAAAACTGATTTGAAGCAGAACTTAATGATGTTTTTGTGACGTGGTGTGAGTATGTGCATGAACGGGCAGCCACCGTGGGAGGCGACATGCTAACTGCTTGACCAAAAGCTGCACGCTGCGGGTAAGGGGACGGCACATGTTGATACAATGGCCTGACAGTGAACCGTGGAGGTTGCTGTCTGCTGTGGAGTTGAGGGGGTGTCTCTGGTGTTTGAGGGGAAGTTGAGTGGTCGCTGCGCTCCAGGTCAGGGCTTGCTTCATTTACAGGGGAAAGGCTCGACCGGAAAGGTGTAGCAGACTGTGAAGTCTGGATGGAGGCCTTTTTCTTTGCAGTCCTTTTGAGGAGTTTCTGAAGACGGACATTGTCTTTTCCAGGCTTGGGCAGCAGTGGTGGAGGGTACTGCTGGGAAAACAGGCCCAGCTGGTGGATAGTGCCATAAGCAACAGACATGAATGCTTCTGCACCCTATTGAAAAAAAGAGATAAAGCATTCTTAAAACTTTGCCTGAAGTTTCACAATTGTTCATTGTTGTATGTTTTCACATGCAAGTCATTTAAATGGAAGCAGTAACCATAAAGCAGCTGGTCAGTGGGGATGGCATATTAAACACATTTTCTTTTTTTAATGTCTATAACATCATTATCGCTTTCCTCTTTTGCTAACTTCATCCTGAATACTTCAATCAATCAATCACATTTTATTTGTATAGCACATTTCAGCAACAAGGCATTTCAAAGTGCTTTACATCATAAACACAAAAACACAAAGTCATGCATCATGGAATAAACAATACATTGTTACATATTACATTTCAAATACAATTCTAAACAGGTGTGTTCAAAGTTGGAAGTGGACAAACTCAGTTTTTCTTTCAAACAGAATTTCTCTTGAAAGTACACCAGGTTAAAAGAAGTTTCACATTTTCAATATCTAATGTTTTTCCTCCGTCCCTTTTGCAGGTTTGTGTTACAGTGATTGCTGAGGAAGCATTTCCTCTCCTGTTGCCTTCATGATGTTGCAACACCTGACATGCTGATGCAGAAACTCTGCAACAGGAAAGTCTGTATTTTTTCTGACCAGCTCTAGAGGAAATGCACATACAGCCCCAGAAATAGATATGTACCCTCGGCAGTTTTAGGCTCAGTAATTTTTTGAAATTTATGTTTCATTAAAATCCCAGTATGTTGAAAATGCAAACCTTTCTCAATAAACAATGGAAAATTATTTTGTTGACAATCACACTGTTCATTCCAATTGATGAGAAGCTTTTCCCACCTTTCCACTGATTTGTTGCTGACCTATTCTCCAAGTCCTTAAGCTTGGATGCCCTCCATCACCCTAAACTTAAGTTTCACCCGTGGATTCTCAATCATATTCATGTTGGTATGCTTGCTGCAACCTCCAAGAATATTAATGCTTCCAGTGTAGAGAAAGACTTTCAGAAATCTGTCAGCAGTATGAATAATTTTGGGCTCAATTGTACAAGTTAAAAATGAAAGCCCACAAAAAATATCTGATGGTTTTAGTTGTGTGATACTCTTTATATCTTCCTGCTTTCTGTTTTTACCATTATGAGTCTAAATGTGAGTTAGTTTTCAGTTTGCTCCTGTTCAAGACGATCACTTGTAAAATGTACAATTTGAATCATCTCGAGTAAATGGATCACATCAATGTTTGACCTGTTTAACATTGATGTTAAACAGGTCACCTGTTTTAGCTTGAGGACAATCAAAACTGCAAAAGCTCTGAGCACCAGCCGCGGCTAAAAGCAGACTTTAGATGTAATAAAAACACACAAGCATTTTACTCTCTGACATTAAATCTGAAGAAATGTTTTGTTATTTCGGCCACTTGGGATTACCAAAACTATTTCTGGTTGATAGATTCCGAAAACATAATGTAAACATTTATTTTTACAACTTTCATCTAATTCAGACAGTTTTTTCCAACTGTATGAGTTATGTAATATTGGGCGTCCTTCCAGAAGCTTCTCACCAAAATTTACTAGAATTTTATTTGGAATTTTTTGTGCTGGAACCATTTTTATTTTGATATTTTTAAAGTAAGTTCTTTATTGCTGCTATTAAATAATTAGCAACATTTTATGGCATTGTAACTTACTTATGTAACATCACATAAAAATCTAAATAGGAAGAGAATTGTGGACCTCCACTATCTCGTTTATCCTTGGGAACAATCTCCAGATGCATGAGCATCTGCATTTTTAACATTCAAATGTTAAAATAATCATATGTAAGCATCAACACCACAGTAATTTCCAGCTGTCTGAACAAACCAGTGAGAGTGAAGACAGCTCTGTAATGTCACTCAGCCAAGAGGAGTCAGATAACAGTTTTCAAACTCTGTCTGATAAACCTAAAATGAAACTGGGTTTGTAAAATTGTCATAATTACAATTTGGAGTAAAAATGGCAAAATCTGTAAAACTGAGAACAACATATCAACTATGATGTAAGAGGTTGACGTCAATATCGTGTGCATTTTGGGGGAATGATGATCAAAAGTTGGCATCACAAGAAAAGAAGAGTACTTTAAACAATTAACATCTCACCTCCAGACAAGAGCAAGGAAGTTAAACCTGCAAACAAAATAGTTTTTTAAGTGGACAATGAACCCAGTCATACCATTTATGTACTGGTTATAAAGTGCGTTAAATACATATAGAAAAATAGCCATTTCAAACTCCCTCAAACCTTTTACCACCTTTCCATAGCAGGTCTGCTATGTGGAAGACCCAAACCGACCCAACTCATCCAGTTCAAATTTTGATATAAAGGTGAACATGTAAACGGCTGAATTTGAAGAAATTTACAGAATATCTCTGACTCATTTTCTGGCTTTTAGAAGTAGTTAATGATGTAATCCTAATTATCCTAAAACAAGTTTTTAGTTTGGTTTAACTTTGGTAAAGGGTGTGGGACTTTTTTTGACACCAGATGTACAGCTAAACCCAAAATTATTCATACCCCAGATACGATCAGACATAACATTTATTTCATTCTACCAGAAAGTCTATCTGTCTGAAATTATGAAAAAATAAAATAATTCAAAGATTTTCATGGAAAAAAATTGCTTGTTTTCTGATTGTTGATCAATTTTGTTGAATCATTTTTGGTGATTTGTCTTTGATCATGTGCTCCAAGCCTTTAAATTCTTTGCCGTCACCATAATTTGACGGGAAATATTCTCTATTAGATTCAAATCAGGATGTTCCCTCTTCATAACCCATGTTACAATGTCTTTCAGTCAAAATTGACATGATGCTGAAATCAAAAGGTTGATTTAAACTTTAAACTTACAAAGTCATGAATACTTTTTGGTTTAGCTATAAAAATCTGTTGTAATTATAAATATTATACAGTGCATAATGGTGAGAATTGTGGTGGACATTTGCTTATTGAAATTCGACTTTGTGATATTTAGCTTAATAGTCACACCTCTGAACACTGTGTGCTTTAGTTGATACATTTCTGCTTCTGCCTCAAAATGCTTTTACTTTTATTTTTTGCTTCTATTTATATGCCACCTTGAAAATATGAAATAAAATCAGTATCTGTTCTTCTGTCAACTGTTTTTATTATGCCGATCGATGAACGGGCAGCCGTTCATTGATCAGTAGTGTCAAACAACTACAACATTCACCATATTAAAATGTTTTAATGACACTTTACAAAATAATTGCCATCTTCCCTTGCTTAAAAGATTCATTAAAATGGTTTTTTTTGTTCGAGGAAAGAAATAGAATGCCCACCCAGACCACCAGTTATCTCAAACTCTGTCCAGTATTCAAAGTAAAATCCACTAATTAACTAAATCTGTGTTCTTTGAGAAGGAATTAGATCGTTTTAAATATGTGGTGGGAAATTACTACAAGTTAACATCTGCTGATCATGTTTTATTAAATGCTTGTGAACTCTCACCAAACGAACTGTTTGGGTTACATGTAAAGGTTGGAAGTTGTTTTCTACAGCTGCTTCAGATCCAGACTGTCTTGTTTTCAATTCCTTATCCTTGGTATAAAACTCAACTCATCCAGACCTGCTTCATCATTGATTGTCCTACAAGCTCTCTGTATTGTGCACAATATATGAATAAACCTGATTGAGTGATTTCACCAAACAGTGCTTGGTAAAATAGTTTTTTCACATCACACCTGAAAGAAAAAGGCTTTACATATAAGCCCCTTAGGTCTGAGGTGATAAATATTTGATATTGAAATTTCTGGAAAACATATAGAGTACACACTATTGTGATATTATATCACAAAAGTAGAGTGTTTAAGCATATTTAAGCACTCGCATGCAATGGTGAGTTCTTCATTTCAAGCAATGTATTGAAACAAAACACCAGCAGTGGGTAAGTTTCAACAAAACATGTCAAAGTCTTAATCACAATTATAGCTTAAAGTGCTGTTCATAAATTGACCTATTGAGGCATGGCCCTTCTTCAGGAAGGACGGCCCTCGGGTCATTGGGCTTCTGGTGATCAGCTGATCACACAAGGCTTCTGCAGGATTGAAGTCTGAAGAATGTTCAAGTTCTCCATTGAAGAACCCCAGTGTCCAGCAATCACTTTCTTGTGAAGTGACCTTGAGCAATCTCATCCATGATGATGACATTGTTCTTCATATAGGGACATCATGACTGAAATCATGACGTTACTCAGGTAGTATGGGTAGTTTAGGGCAGTACTTTATTGACTGGACTCACTACTCCACACTAACACCATCACCCAGGTGCTCTTCTTGATATATCCAACATCACTGGCAGCCAAAGTTTCTGTTCAGAGTGAATCAACTTTCATCAGAGAAAAAGCACTGAAGCCCTCGATTCCTCATCCAGGTAACCTTCCTGTCCCAGAGTTCTGGGTGGCTCAGCTGATAGAGCACACACACCCTGTACAGAAGCTAACTGTCAGTTTGCTGTTCAATGAAAGCCACTATATAAACATCTTTTTATATACCCAGATGGCCAATGCAAGACAACAGCACCTTTGCCTGATGTTGTACTCAATATCCTTGCAGGTCGTATAGTACACAGGACCATGCTGATGTAGACGGGTTTCAATGTTCTGACCTGACATTTGGGTGATTCTCAGTTCAAGTAAATTTGCTCAAATTTGAGTGGCATCAATCATCCACTTCCCCAGGGCACTGCTCACAAACAAGAGGTCACCCGTGTGGGATGTGGTCAATTCTATGCCTTTCTTCAACTCTTCTGGTTTTTCTGTTGCAGCCTGCTGGTGACACTCTAAGCTCAGGGTCCAATTCCATCAGAGAACGTCCTCGACCTTCACAATGCCAAGTTACTGTGGATCAGTTAAGTGTTGTCCTGCTCTCCTGATGTTAAAATGTGAACAGCATGATGAAGAATAGTGGATTCCTGATGTTCCTGGATTCATTCAACACTAGAGAGCCTCAGAGCAGAGTTAAAACAATTTATGTTTGATGTTAAATCAGAATTTTATGATGCATTTTGACTGATTATTGCAGGTGCAGCTGTCACAAGAGTACAATCACCTGATGGAAAGCGGGTTATGTACAGGTGCTCACCAGTTATCTCAAACTGGTGAGCACCTGTTGAGATAACTGGTGCTCACCAGTTATCTGTACATTTCAATTGTTCTGGCAGTCTGTTCCATCTTGTCATTTTTTATTGCAGGTGTCAAGGGCATCAAGACACCTGCAATAAAAACTAGACCAAAAATACTAGGCATGCTTTTGTATTTTTACAGTATCCAAATTCAATGCAAGGCTCAGCTAACTGTATTGATAACTCCAAGATTATTGTCATTTAAAGACGAAGCTTGTAGATCCCTGAGTCTCGGTTCCATTGTAATAAATGTATTATTGTATTATTGGACTGTGACTAGCTGCCCATCAGGTGTTTGCTTTTTTATTTAGAACATGCTGAAAGTGAACGCTCATTATACCTTATGATCTCACGCCCCACTGACACTGGATAATACCTTTGAAATGTGATGTCACCCAGGAAAACATGAGGGCCAATTAGGCATGAATGCCCCATGAGTATGCAGCTTTGGCACACGGCCTGGGAGCCATTATTTTAGGCCTAAGAAATAACACTCTGTATGTGTCACACTGCCAGAACATTGTGTCACCAGCCTTAACCCTGATTTACCAGATCAGGTTGTTGGAGAACCAACCAGGCAGTTTAAGGTTCTGGCATAATTAAGTTCAGTTAGTCTTATCTCACTACGTGTCACCCCTGTGATTTAGAGGCACAACCTGGTAAATGTTTAGAACTCTCCCAGCTCCCCCCTTCTGCACTGAGCCGCCAGCCTGACACATGAGATACTCATTCCTCCTTTTAAGGCTCTGGAAGTGTTGGCATTTGTAGTTCTTTTAGGATGCAGGTTCAAAAGAGGAAAGTCTAATAATAGCTATGCAACAAAAAACTCAAACAGAAATAACCTGCTTATGCGCGTGAATTCAAGCTACAGACTTTATGTCAAGCAATAATGGAAATGAAAACGACTTACCAGGCGAAGAACTTATTGATGGAGTTTAAAGTGCTCCAGGCAGGTTTCCCCTGGCAGGACAGGACGGTGTTTTAATTCATGGTAAAAAATGAGCATTTATTAGAGCTGTTCAATTCAAATTACAAGTGAATGCTACACTGTTTTATAACCTGGACAGATGATCAGTGATAAAATGTGTGGTAAAGCCACACATTTGAAATTGTAGCCCTGTCAGTGCTTCAGTTTTGCAGAGGACAAAAAAAAAGTTACCCTTCCACACACATAAGGTCTCAGCAGCTGCCTCCATAACTTAACGCTTTTCCTCTGCTCTGGAAAATAAAAGGTGTAATTGAAGGGAATTGTTACCTGTAGGACTGCTGCTTGGGGGTGGCCAGCCAGCTGCTGCCTGCTTGTCCCAGCCTGGAGTGTCAGATCGGCAGGTTCATGTTGAGACCAACTCGACCCCCCTTCCTACAAATGGAAGGAAAGGGCGCCATGGCATTCCAAAAATAAACCCTGAGCGCTGTGGGTTGCTCAGAAGCTGCAGCAACATTGCGACCGCAGAGAAAGTTGAGGCGAGATGTAGCTGACAGGCCAACACCCAGTTTTAACAAACACAGACCTCTGAGTGAGCTTTGAAGGCCACCTAGAGGTCCTTGAGAAGAAAAAAAAACATTTAAATGCTGCAGAGGGTCTTTCAGCAGGGCCGTTTTCCAAAAGACGTTATCACAACAGCAATATTGTCAGGTTCTTCCAGTTCATTCAATTCCAGATCAGTCTAACTCAGAGTGCTATTTTTTGATGGGGAGAATTTGGAATAACACCTTTTCCCCCAAAACACCATTTCTCAATATTTCAGTTTCCTCAAGGACAGCAAAAAAGATAATATAATTGCAGAGAAAATCTGAATGAACCTATCTATCATCAGCAATGTTGTCTCAAGGCACCATTAATCAAGGATCTTGATTTGGAAAGGAGAAAGGAGAGAAACAGAGGGGAAGTGATCGTAAGTGTAAATTCAGATGATCAAATCATTTGACTCTGTATTGTCAGGATCTGTGTTTTTCCTGTCGTGTAATTAAGGTTTCTGTCTCTGAGCCTCCGGGTTGTCCTGTCTCCTCTTGATTACTCCCAGGTGTCTCGTTCCATGATTACCCTCCTGGGTGTTTAATGTCACCTGTGTTTCCGTGTCTTCATTGTCACATGTTGTTCCAGTCTGTCTTATTCTGTCCATGTAAACCCGGTTGCTACCAGTGCTGAGCCTTTGCCTTCTGCTCTGCTGTGCTGTCAGGATTATGGACTCTGGATTATGTTGAACTCTTTTTTTCATCTTTAAACCCACATTTCATTTCAACCTGGTTCCATCTCGTCTGCCTCTCAATTCATCATCACTAACCCGACGCTGTGTGAGGCAGGGTCGGGTTTTACGATCATTTAATCACGACCGGCTACAATACACCATTCAAAGGACAGTAATAGCAACGATGCTGATGAATGTCTATGATTCTGCTCCTTTATCCAACTTATTATTGCTTACAGTGATTTGACACTTCAGGTAGTGAAGTATAGTGCCAACACAGGAGTGTTTTTTTTTTGTTGTTCATTTTTAACTGTGTAAGCCACTTTATGTCTCTACCATCTTTGTGTTTAAACACTTCCTGTACAATTAGGAGTATTGTCTTCTTCTGAGGTTAGTAAAATAAAAAATCCTGTGACTGATAAAATAATCTAAGGCTGACTTGTTCTGACCCGATCGCCTGCTAACCCTGGTTCTGATCGCTACCTCAATAAACAAGTGATAGGACTTGTTTGGTGAATAGAATTTATTATAACACTATATTATAACATCTACTTGGTTTTTTTGTTCAATTATTTTACTTTTTCTTTTTTTTTACTAATTACATACCCAATAATTAAATCACTGAATGAACAAGGTATTTTATGAAATCTTATCAACAAATTCAACGCCTGAAATCCCAAAATTGTCAAATAAAATTCTCAAAATGAACTTCTGCTGTGATGTTCATGTGAAAAGGGAATGCTTTTTTTATTGTGGCTGATGAGTCAAGGAACATGTC